TTTCAAATGCCGGAGGGGGGGGGTCGTACCAACCCCGAAAAAAGGGGGAGGTCGTACAGACTCGACTAAAATCCCCAACCAATGATGTGCCCTGCTGCGGCTGCCAAGACAAAAAAAAAACGTTGCATGCCAGGGAATGAGCTTTTCGATGGGCAGGGGACACTATGGTGGATGAGCTACTCATTATGCGTGAAAAGTTGGGAAGTGAATGGTCACACTGGTCATAAAACGCCATGCAGACGTGAGAGCGCAGAGAAAAAGAGAAATGTGACGCTATTCAAGGGATCGAGTTCAACTTGTCCCACCGTTCAAAATACAACGAGGGGTCCCATTTGACTGTCTTGGGAAGAGGGAGGTAGGTATTTTGCTATGAGAAAACTCTTTGCGGTAGTTGTTCTTCACGCCTTGCGCGCTCTGTTCGATGCATTGTTGGGAGAATTCCACGGAAGAACGCCGTATGGTTGATGGGAGGGGGGAAAGGAAAGTCGTATTTGGCACTGAAATTCTCCAGATGATGCCCAGTTTTTTTTTCGTTTTATGGAGGGGAAAAGGGTAGAAAGTTTGGAAGATGGTAGGTATTATAAGGATGAAAAGAGGATCTCACCAGAGGAGGAAACTGGTGGTATTTCACAAAAATTTTGGTGAAAAAGAGCTGAAGAACAGGCTCACTTCACACCCATTATTAGCACCATTCAGAGATGTTTTCAGTTCAAGAAAATTACTCACAACGGAATTACCCGCACAGAATATAAAGTGATGCTCTGATACTAACCTGAACTGGCCCAGATCCACGGGAGCTGCCCTCTGCTCCAGAGAAACCCTTGTCGGGGACGAAACGTTGCGTGTTGATGATCTTATCCAGATCGTCACCGTACACGTCCTTGTCGATGTTTTTACCTAAAAATGTAGAAGTAAAGGAGAAGATTAAGTAAATGGACATGCTCACAAATGAACTGAAATCTCCAAAATAAAAAAATACTGAGTTCGGCAGTAGGGGTTCGCCTCAGCTCGGCGAAGTCGTTCTCATGCGCCTCGAACTAGGGCTACGTCCGGACTCTGATAACCTGCACTCCTCTAAGACTGGGACCTAAGAAAGGAGGGGATTTTGATGTCTCGCCACGTGGCTCCCCACTAGACTACTGTCAAATATTCATTTATACGACTTGGAGAGGTCACGTTTTTGTGCTCAAGCAGGTGGATGAAGCTACGCAAGGCGAATAATACTGCCTGCTCTTCTGCACTCCTCACTGCCACTTGATCCTTCTTCCCCTAGGCACAGTAGAAATGCATAGACAGCCAGAGCCATCGTCCCACGCGTGCCTCTCCCCTAGCTGTAGAATTCGCTTGAAGAGCTTCTATAGAAACTGCGATTCAAATGATGGCACTGGAAGCTCCCACTTTTCGAGGCCACTGGTTAATTCGGAATAGAAGCGAGGCATTACGCTGACCGGTTTGGAAGGGGCATAAGCACTACTCAGCAAAACATGCGCAGTTCATCTTGTCAAGATCTACAAACTGTAGCAAAGTGCGGACCATTTCACAAGAGACACACTTCACAAGAGTTTACACTTTGTCTACCACATCTGTTAATATGGACCAAAGAAAGGGATAACGAAAGTGCAAAAAGTTCCTCCTGAGCTGAATAGCGCCAGAAGCATCATCGAACGTTTTCAGATGAACATCCATGAGGTTTTAAGGCACAGATTCCACAAAGCGCAAAACGCAACGCACCGCAACATCCCTCAACTGACTTTGCTGATGTTCACGATCAAGACCCGATCAAATTCAAAGTATTTTTAGCCCATGGGTCCTCCACACGAGTACTTCACCAACAATTTCTTTCATTTTTGCATATGATGACAAGTTGCGCTAGCTCCGATCTTTGACGATTCTACCATTCCATGAATGATCAGTGGTGTACTGCCATAGTGAAGCAGCGCCAGACTATGGCTACTGATAAATGGCAACGTTCGGAATTCATGTTAAATTCGTATGAATCGGCACAGATAACTGATAAGGAGATCAATAATCATTCGCGCCCACAAGCAGACTACAGCCAAACCGTTGTGACATCATGTGTCATCACATTACTGTCACTGATAGCGACACATGACAGGAGGCCGAGTATGCTTCGGAATGACGAACTAGGGGGCCTATCAGCCAACATCAAAAACCGTTTTCTGCAAAACAGGACATCCTGCTAACAAAAATGGAGGGCATTCTTAAGAATAAGATTGGGACTAATGGAGCGAATGGCCCGTTCCGCCTCTTATGAAACCATTTCAAGAACCCAGTGGACTTTAGGTTGGGTAATTACATTTAAAGCGGTTCCGCGCTCATTCGATGTTAGCATCCTCACTCTCAACATTCCTCGTGTAAGTAGCCTGGCCCGCAGTCTCCATGACTGCCCTTTTCCTCTAAATGAGTAGCGAAGGGCTGCGGCCTTCACCCCTTCCCCACCCAGGCAAGCCATCGTTATGATGATCACAACAGGGGGAGGGTCGTATTTGACCGCGAGGGAAGGGGGGGGGCGTATATGGTCTAAGAAAGAATTGTTTTTCGTAAGTTGGCTTCTCTTGTTCCACGGACGCTATAAAGGGGGGAGGTTGTTGTTGGGAGAGGGACTGCCAAAATCTATAGAAGTACTATTTCCAATAGTTGGAAATAGTGATAGTGGCATCCCGACGACACCCTAACCCCCCTCCCCCGGTCGACAGCAAATTTTGTTGAAAAGCCAGAAATATTTCGGGGAAGAAATGGGGGGAAAGGGTAGGAAGCTGGGAAAATCTGCAAAATGGCAGTCAGCATGAGGAGGCGGGCCTGTTTCAGGATGGATTAGGGAAGTCGTGTTTTTCAGGAATTGATCACAACGCGATGGCGCGCCCTGCCCCCACCCCCCCCCTCTATTTGCGACGCCCATTAAAATTCACTTTGTGACTGTGGGATCGTAACCAACGCCAACATCCACAGTATGTATTTTCAAAGTTACTTTGAAAAAGTGAGACCTCAGGGTAGCAAGTTCCGAAGCTAGTAATCAGACATCACCGACTGGTAATACTGATCAAAAAAAAGAACTAAATAGATGAATATCAGTGGCTAGAAACCATAAACGGGGCACATTCCTTCCTCCTTATCTCAGGTGAGAAACCCAGTATTACTCAGTTCATTACCAACAATCATTATAGGTTCAAATCGGAGAAAACAGGCTACCACCTAACCTCGACTGTGGGAGATTTTCGTTAAAACCTTACTTCGCAGAACTTGTTCTTTGGGCTTAAGCTAGGGGTAATTGTAAAATGAATATAAACGTTCGATCCGAACCCACTAGAAAAAGAAGAGCAAAAAGAAAAAGAGCGATTCATTGACTCACTTGGCCTGTATATGTGTTGCTGAACATTATCACCACCACGCCATGCTTTATCGTACGGATTATACGTTTCATCGTCCATGGCTCCACTGTCGAGACCCTGAAAAAGTAATCTGATAATCAACCGAAACACTTAGCCGTCTAACGTGACTCGACCTTATTTTGATCGAACAGCCTTTGATCGAACTGCGTTTCGCTGGATCGAACTTTAGCGTCTGGTAGACCGAGTACAATTTTCTCAGAAATATCGCGATCACGGTCCCTGAAAAGCGATTCAGTCTGTTCCAAAGCAAAGAAAAAGTGAGAAATAGTGGAAAATGACTAACCGCATAAGCTTGTCGACCTTATCAGGTCTATTCCGCGCGATATTCCTCTCCTTACGAATATCATCAAGACGATCACGTCTGAAACGTGGGGTTTAATATTATGGAGCATTTTGTGAATAAAGGGCTGGAAAAATCTGATGCTACTTTTGTATAAATTAAACACCCAATACTGGTAAAGATAGTGAACTCGAGAACCACCATACTTGCCAACACTTGCCTGCGCGACACGCATCAGGGCCGTAACAGTGGCCACCTGCTAGTCATTCGCTTCGCGCTATCAATTTGCGTAGTATAAACCCAATCTTATATAATAAAAAGCTGTGTGTCCATGATAGATTTAAGAAAGTCCTTTTGTAATACGATAACGAACATGGGTCACTACGCCGTTACTCTTCCCAGTATAGAGTAGAAGTAAGCAAATATCATCATAACATAAGTGAAGAAAATAGACGCACCTGACTTCCTCTCGTGCTTTGACGGCCTCATCTTCATCTTCGTCCCTTTTCCTGATACCAGCACGTTCCTGGAATATTACAGTGAAAATCTTTCTTCCCGACAATCGTTACGAATCCCGGGCGCTATTTACCCTTCGGTGCCACTTCAAACTGAGGTCACAATTTAATCGAAAATTCCCCATACGAGAGTGCTTGGACGTTTTGGCCCAGGGAACAGTTTGAGCCTCCAAGTAAAAGGTCACATCCGCACTGCATCCGCGCAGCAATTGCCCGTGCTACTATTGGCGAATGGCGTCCGTAATGGCGCGGACGCCATACGCGCGATCCTCCCCAAACAGATGTGACATCGATTTTCAGGGAAGAACTATCACGGGTAATGCTTTTCAGCAAACTTGGCGATTCTGCATGTTCAAGCGCTGAGGCCTACGGCTCTGGCACTTAAACATTTAGCGCCAAGTTGGTTGAAGTGTGATACTCGCGTGAAGGGACAAAACAACCAGCGGGGACAGAATTCTAGCCAAATTTATCCCCTGGGGAATCAAAACCTGATCTCAATTCCGGAAAAGTGGAAGTAAGGGGCGAATAGTACCGAATTCCTTCACAGTGCACACTGTAGCTCCGTCATCAAAGAAGACAGAGCATCTTATTTCATCTTGTGAAAGTGCTTGCAGTGATAATGACTGGGGGGGGGGGCATTTTTCTGATTCGCTGTATTCTTTTACTAGTTCCTCTTGAAGCACTGGTCTTGCCTTGGTGAAACCTGTACACTCTTGCCATGTTCAAATGAAGCTCACTGCCTCATAAGAGTAAACGGTCTTCAAAGCAGCTAGCAATGATTGATGGGAACCGGAAAAATGCCCCTCAAAACCGAACAGCACCTTGTTCAGAGCTTATTCACTGTAGAAAGAACAGAATTACCTGTCTCGCTTTGGCAGCCATTTCACGCATACGAGCTTCTTGCTCGAGTTTCTTATGTTGAGCAACCCTCTTCTCCAGTTGGGCTCTCGCTTCCACGGATTCCCTGGCCTTCCTGTCAGCAATGTACAGCGCTTCCGATAGTTTTGCAAAGCCTTCGTTTAATATGGGTCTGAAAATGAGAGAATTTTTGGAATACGCACAAGGATGTACCAAACGTACTTGCTGCAATCCTCTTCCATCAGCAGCTAGCCTTTTATCGAGTGATACAGTGAAACCTGAGATAGAAGTTTAAACGGTTACCAGTTAGGTGCCCGATGTAGGGCACAACTTGAAACAGAATTTTAAACGATAGTTACCAGTTAGGTGGCTGATTTAGAGTCCAATCTGCCAACTCCCTCCCCTTCCCCATGCTGGTGGTCATCGTCAATTACCGAAAATAGTAGCTGCATAGGACTTTGGCTCACCACCAACTAAAAGCGGAGCGGGTGCCAGCGAATGGGGAAAGCGGGTAAAGCACTAACTGGAAAAATTTTGTTAAGGCCTGATAAGACCCCTATCAAAGCGACAAGCGACCCCCCTGCCCTCCCACGATAGAGTTCTCCCAACGTTATGTGTAGCTCACGCGAGACAAGAAAAAACAAATGTTGAAAAAACTTTGCAGATTAAATACAGCTCCCTCCCCTCAGCGACCAGATAGGACCTACGAAGAGGGTTCTTGTCCCCTGCCGTGGACACAGAAAAGTCATCTTCGAAGTCTCACCTTTTGGATTTTTCCAGTTTGAAATGCAAGGTGGAATTTTCCAGTCGTTTTGATCTTTTGTTGTCACCTGAAGAAGCAAATATTCAAAAAAGGGAGTAATAAAAGGAGGCGTTATACAAACAAGTGAAAGCGAACCTTTCGTGGAGGACTGTGCATTACGGGAGCTGGCGGCGAAGGAGGTGCACGGGGAATTTTCTGATTAATCCTGAACTTGTCCTTCATCAACATAAATGAAATGGTATAAGTACTGAGATCTGAGATGGGTCGAGAGTTGACACAAACATGAACAGAAGTAATTGAAAGCAAATGAAAGGAAAAATCGGTGCTAATTAACTTCAGTGGGGCCTTCAGAGGAGTCCTTCTGCGAAACTAGAACTACCGCAATAGAGCATAAACTGATGGCTAAGCCCGCGTCGTCCCACTTGCATTACGGCAGTCCCAGTTTTGCTCAAGAATTCCTTAGATGCCTCCTTCAAAGTTGTTGGCCGCGAGAACGTTTCTGAGCGAAAATCAAATCCAGTTACTTGTATAAGCGCTATTGTAGTTGGGAGTATGATTGCGCGGGGTCTCAAGATATCTGTCGACCACATTTTTCTTTCTTATTACCTTTTTTACTTCTTCCTTCCCCCTTCCTTATTTTCCTTCCTTCAATGACCGGCCAGAAGTTGCGATGAGAAAGTAAATTGGACCCCAGTGAGAAAGCATCCGGTCGGCAGAGCCCCCGTAGCCGTTACGAGCGGCACGACTAAGTCCGACCCTCTGCGCCCTCTCACGATGAAAGTGTTCCTTTCCTAAGACTCGTTCTCAAAAGAATGGCTGGACTACACGCGACGTGGCACAGAGATCCTAGTTGGGCCGCAGCGCCATTCCTCTGGAAAGCATTCATACTTCGCGATCGCTGGCTCCTGCAAGCACTGGACGGCGTGACCCAGGCGGTCGGAAAGCAGTGAAGGAATACGCCTCTAACCATAGTAGTACCCCAGGGCGAAGTACGTGTCGTACCTGAACTTTGGTGGCTCCATGGGATCTTTTTGCTCCTCCACCATACGAATAATTCGCTGTTGTGAACCTTAACGTCATTAATAGCAAATCTTGGAGTTTTGAAGATTTAGAAGCTAAAGAAAAGAATAAAACAAGACTTAGTACAACACAGTACCTCCAGCGTGCCCGCCACTTTGCTGACTAGGTGTATATCTGATATACTGAGCAGGTGCTTGCTTTTCGGCATGGCGTACAGGTAAAGCTGAGGCTACCTGAAAACGGGGTTTTCTACAAAGCGTACAAAGCGTACAAAGTGTAGAAAGCGTTGTGAAGCTGATCTGTTGAAACTTTGGCGCTGTTGGCTTGGTGGGGGCACCTAATGGTACTTAGCGATGCTTCTGCACACCAAGTTGTGGAAACCTGTAGGTTCTTGTGACCAAAAGTGCTCACTTATGCAGTTTCGTAAAAGTTCACAGATCTCATTTTGATAAAAACTATTAGTTAACATGAAGAAACAAAGGGAACTAGCGGGAAGGCGAAATGCCCCTCCCAGGCCGAACAGCGCCGATGCTTCTCCTAAATATATCGAATACAGAAGTGCTCAGCTCACCTTGCTCTCCGTTATTTTCTCCAACGCTAAGCGTGTTTTCTCTGTTTGTTCAGCAATAGTCTCCTCATCAGGTCTTTGTATATCCTCATCTTCTTCATCCCATGCCTTTGCCCTCATATCCGCTAGTTTTGTATAAACCACCTAAACTGGTACCATAAACGAAACAGTTCAAAAATAACTGACTTGTTCAATAAAATATAAAGGCGATCTAATCTCAAGCTATCTTTTCCTACCTTATTTTTGTCATGTCCGAGTCGTGCTATAGCATCATGTCTTAATTTTCCATCAGCATCATACTGCAGTGCAATTTGCCCTTCATTTTTTCCCTTTCGTTCTCCCAGACCCATTCCAAGTGGAAACTGAGCCACGTGGATTTCTGGGAATGCTCCACCATCGCCGAAGTCCTACAAAATTACTACTTGTTACAGTTCCAACCAATTGGAAGGGGGTTGGTGACAATTCCGAACAAACTAGAAAACATCTGAGAACTAACTTCAGCATTGCGCGGTTTGAAGCCCTGACGTCGCCCATAGGGAGGCGGTTCCTTCACTACAATACCTGTAGGAGTGGGCAACGCGTCTTCACGTCCACGAAACCAAGGATCTCGTCGAACCTGCGAAGCATGACCGCTAAGAAGTTCAAAAGAAAAAAGCAGATTATTTGATTGAGTGATATTCCAAAATACTTCCTAATCAGCAATACTGAATATTATTAGCGCTATTCAATAAATTCTGAGTGATGCAATTCCATGTTGTTTGGCATCCGTTTTTAGGTGAGAAATAGCATCTGTGAGCGCGCCTTCATACATTGCGGTATCGTTTTGAGCGTGTGTCAACGTTTCCAGCGACTAAGAAAGTACAGATATCTATTCATCTCCAACTCCATCGATATTTGGAGCCCTTTGAGTGTTCGCCAGCATTTTCCGCAATAATGGACACCTATACTTTCGCAGTCCCTCAGAACGCTCCGGGCCAGAGCGCTAGATCGATATTTATACTTTCCTAGTCGCTCGCAACAAATGAACACTCTGACATTTTTCCTTTCCGCTTAGCAGTAAGCAAATGAGGACAACGAAGCGTACCGTGAAAATGTCATCAAAAAATGTAAAAAAAATCACGAAATGCATCTAAACCGCGACCAAAAACTTACTTGGGAGTACTCGTCAGTGACAGCAGAAGGGGCAGGCAGCAATCTGAAATGGCGATTCTTCTAGAAAACAATAAAAATTAAAAGCATAGAAGCAAAAAAAGTTGGGCGCTGTTCGGCTAGGAGGGGCGCATTGGCACTTTTGCTAGTTCTTTTTGTTATTCATGTTAACCAACAGGGCTCAATTCGGTAGGACCTATAGCTCCTGCGAAGCTGCAAAATCGTTTGAAATTGCCTTTTTGATCACAGCAGCAGGTTTTCACAAAGTGGCCTGTGCACTTAGCTGAGTATCATTCTGTGCCCTCACCCAGCCAAAATGAGCCAGAAGTTAGAGAAGCCCGAAATATTCACTCTTGTAAGAGGTATGAAAGAAGGAGCTGCTAGCCTACTTGAGGGGAGGGGGGAACATGAGGTTAGTTTGATCGTTTTCGGCCTTTCCCTTCAATTATGAAGACAACACTACCTCACTGAGCAATGAGCTGAGCTTGTCGTGCTCTGGCAAGCTCCACCACCTCCCCCCTTCCCTAACTAAGCGCTGCAAACAAATCCCTGCTCCCCCTTCCCTTCAACTAAGCGCTGCAAACAAATCCCCGTGAAAATAAGAAACCATAAAAAGAAGGAACTCACTCTGTCAATTTGAGCGACATAATTGCCTGACAAATTTAATAGGGTAACACTGAAACTAAAACAAATCAAACCTATTGCAAATTATCAAAATTAAAATGGGCGCTAAAGTAATTCACGGGGGCAACGGTGCGGCATCTCTGCGCCCTCAAGTTCAGAATCAGAGCGTGGACAACAAGACGTGCGAAGAGCATGCCAGTTCTGCATGCACAGAGAGCCCCCCCCCCACCAAGAACTACGTTAGCACCCAAAATGCCAAAATTCTGCACAAAAAAAAGAAAATAGCTGAGCTTGAATCGCAACAAGCTAGTAGCAAATTCAGAAGAAAGTCTTCAAAGTTTATTACATAATTTAATGGGCAGAGCACAAAAACAACACCAGTAATGAGACCCAAACGGATAGGAGATCATCACTAATTATATGATAAGTCATTTTTTGAGACGTAGAGCCTTTTCAGCCATTTGCACGATTTCTTCTGAAGCATAATAGAAGCTGTCAGCTTTCTCGACGACCTTCTTCCTCTAAAAATAAAACAAAAGTTCACTATTGAAAATATGAAGGTGAGTCAATTGTACATGAATATCGTGAATTCCAAGGGCTACCTGCTCAGCAGCTAACCGGCCAGCTAGCAGAAATATGAAGTCTCTCACTGTCCACGTCTTTTCATCCAGTTTATTCAATTCCACAAAGCTACAATTTTTTGCGTGTGACCGGTGCTCCTCCCTGAACGAAAAAGTAAATATAAATGAAAACGTGGGCAGTTAGATTAGTGAGGGAGGGGGACATTTTGCGCCCTCATTAGTTCCTCTTGCTAGTAAATGTTATGGCAGTGTGGACGTTGAGCGAGAATACCCGCCTCTTTTCTTCACTTTTTACAAATCTAATTTGCAATTTCATCGACTTTTCCCATATTTTTATGATGAGATACCTGTATTGCGTGTCCAAAACCGTTTTTCATTTTGCAGCATGAAATAGTTGTCAAACAGACTGTATGAAACAGCGCAGAGAATATTTCATGGCACACCATGTGTGTCGCGGAGGGCGCCATCGTTGTGATATTCACAACGGAGGAGGGGGGTCGTATTTGACCGCGAGGGAGGGGGTCGTATTTGGTCTGAGAAAAATTTTTTGGTAGTTGATTTCTCTTGTTTCACGGACGGTATAAAGGGGAAGAGGACGTACTTGGCCGTTGTTGAGAGAGAGGGACTGCCAAAGATCTATTTCTGATAGTTGAAAATGATTCTGACGACCTCCTACCCCACCCCCCCCCCTTCCCCCGCTCGACGGAAAATTCTTGGCTGAAAAACTGGAAATTTTTCGGGAAAAAATGGAAAAAGTGGTAGGAAGTTGGGAAAATCTAGGAAAGTGGTAGGTAGCATGGGGAGGGGGTCGTATTTGAGGATAGAATTAGGGGGGGTCGTATTTTTCAGGAAATGGTCGCAACGCGATGACGTGCTGTGGATGGCGTGCCCTGGTGTCGCGCGGTACGGTACGCGTCAACTAACAGGTCGACACCTGTGAACTGTTGGAAAGCTGCGAAGTGGTACTAAAGAGCCACTTCAACTGAAAAATCCACATGCTTCTACACGTTTGCTTATACAAGCTTCGCCGAGCAACATCTTATGCCCACACTAAGCCATATTACGCCTAAAACTTTGAAGTGGAGCTGTCTGGCGTCAACTTTGTTAAGGTGTGATGCACTGGAGGTGGTTGAAGAAATAACTGTCTCAACCTCGAAAGAGCGCAGCCGTCTATAAAAAGGCGTGCAGTGTCGGCCCAACCCCTTAACCACCAGGCCAAATATTACATCAAGACAGAAGTAGAACGATTAGAACTAGTATCCCAATTGAAAACATCCTAACACGGACTTACCAGGGGTCATCCTTCTCCTCGAATATCATCTCCTTCAAACAAAACGCACATGTAGCTGTAGCTGGCTCAGCCCTCGTTCCAGAAAAGACGAATCCTGCTCTTGCCAGCTAAAGTTGAAACATTCAAGTTAGGTCCAGCTTACCAGAAAAATTGGGTGCTATTTCTAAGTACTGGACATTTTGTTCAAAGTTTCGTCAGATTATAGCGAGCTCAATTCTGCTCCCAGAAAACGGGCCCTGAAAAGTTGTGCTCGAAGGTTCCACGCCCCACCCCCCTCCTGGTGGGACTCTCCAACGATGCTGTACCAAGACTGTGAAGAGCTCATTCCTCATGTATAGCCCTTGCCTGTTACGAGCATTGGAAATGCTTCACTGCTCTGCATCGTGACTTTTTCGCGCCTTACTTCAGTAAGGAGCAGTTAGCGCTGAAAGTGACGAACAAGCTCTTATGAGAGAGCGGAAAGGGAATCCGGCAAACGGTATGCCTGATCCGAGAAAGCTCCGGAGTGTGTGAAGTGGCTTCGTTCTAAATCTGGTTTTCGCTATTCGAAAATAGAACGGTTTGACTTGGAGGGAGCGTTCTGTACCTTGGCTAGTTATTCTTTTAAGTTCAAGCTAAATAGCAGGGCTCACTTTGCTGATACCCACGTGAAGCTCTAGTTAGCTGTGTTCGAGTGAGCCACTTTTATCGCAGGTATTTACAAATGCGCTGATCACGAATATAACATCCGTTTCGAGCGCTGGCGTCATTTGGCGCCATTATGCGCCAATTTGGCGCCCACCACTTTTTTCACCAAAGTTGATGAAAACTTGCATATGGGGGTTAATTGAGGTCCTGATTACGAATATCACACTGGTTTCAAGCGCTGGCGCCATTATGCGCCAAATTGGCGCATAATGACGTCAAATGGCGCCAGCGCCAAAAATAAATGTTGGATTCGTAATCAGGACCTCAATTAACCCCCAACAAGTTTTCATCGACTTTGGTGAAAAAAGTGGTGGGCGCCAAATTGGCGCATAATGGCGCCAAATGACGCGCTCGAACGAATGTGATATTCGTGATCAGGGCATCGAATTACACCTATAGGCAACGTTTCAGCGAAAATTTTTTTTGAGTTTTTTGGGGTAGGAATAGTTCAATAGTGCCTAATTGGCTTCTTACTATTTCTCGAACTGTGCCGATTTTTATTTCATTGAAAGGGAAATTCGGGTCGAGGCAAAAGTGAGTTTTCGACAACTACTTTTCAAATTTTATCTTGGCTCCCAACCTGGAGATGCGTCTTATGATAGCTTGAAGTTGATTCAAGCGATCAAGAGGTGGGAAATAGGACCTTGTAAAAGAGCATCGCATGAGGGGCCTCCTGGGGAGCGACGGCCTGCAGAACCTATCCACTAATTTTCGAACGTCTAACATCAACTGAGGGTGGTGGTTGATGATGATAAGGAAGCATTCCATGACCTCAAACGATTCCCCATCCCTGGTATGAATCTCCATGAATAAGGTTATTCAGTAAGCTCTCAGTTGGACTCAATAGGGCATTAGGTCCGATGCTTCTCTGTGAGGTCTATATTGAAATCTTCGAATCACTCAAAGTATTACTGGCATTTCTAAGAGGCACGGCCTCTTAGCCATATACTTAGCAACCAGGCCATGCGGTTTAGCTTTTTAATTAGAAGTAAAATGGGGAGGCTGTCGAAAATGCTCAATTTCGTCGACCTGACACTCCAGTTTGAGCACTTAAATATTAGTGGGAAGAAAAAATCCAAGGAAACTAAAAGACTGTCATGTAGGGCAAGGAATTCTCTACAAAACAGGATAAACGCTATGGCAAAAGTTTTCATCTTCAGCGCGATATTTCGAGTGAGAAAAATGCCATTACTTATGGGCCAACCCCATATATTACAACTTATAAAACTTGATAATGAAAAATCGTCTGTTGTTGTTACAAATGCTTCAAGTGCCTTGTTACAAAACGCCCCACTTTTTAGAATAGCGCTTAATAGAAAATAAGATGTCGAAAAGAAAAAAAAATGAAAATCAAAACTGTCTCACAGTTAGAGAGAGAAAAGTTACCGCTTCAGATGAACAAGGGGATCCAGAATTGTCAAAACACCAATTCTGAAATGTTGCCCTGCGGTGACGATAAAATAGAACATCTGACTTCTCAGAAGCGATTTCCTGAAAGAGCGTTCGTGTCCCGTTCTCGGCAGCCATTTCTGAAATGAAGAAATTCGCTGACGTATTTATCGACGGGTGAAAAACTCTATAAGCGATATAAGACCACAACTGCACTGGACAAGTCAAGATTATGCCTACAAACGACGGGTTCAGCCAAAGATCTCGTAAAATGTCAAAATTTCAGAAACAAAGAAGACTTTGCCAAAGATTGTACGTATAAAAGCACGAAATCATATAAATATAGAAACAGTTGGAAAGCGAGAACAACAAGAGACAAGTTTTGAAGCTTTCATGTAAAGGTATTGTTGACAAACAACCGAATTGTTTTTCTTTTTGCAACACAAACACCCTTCGATTTGCGAAAATATTAAAGAATGCGAACATATCAAAGTTCTAAACTCGGACAGCAAAAAAAAGAGACAGACCTCCTGAAGAAAACTCTAAATAGGACAAATAGAAAGCAAAAAAGGGACTTGTGGACTCTTGGCTATAAGACAGTTCCGCCAAGTTCTGCATTTACTATCAGCTCAAAATCAAGTAAAATTCATGGTATATCCCGCACTAATCGTCAAATACATATGCAGAATGGAAGAGTGGATCATTTGAATGCTGAAGTTATTGAGCGGTACTGAGTTCTGTTAGAAGCGAGCGCTACGCGCGCGTGCTTGGTATTGGCTATTGGGCGCGTTATTCCACATGTCTGGAAGTTGGTAACTTTCCGAAAAGCGTTTCCCTTCTGATTTCGAAGGGAGGGAAATACCTTCAGTTCCATGTCAAGGTGTTGCTCTCCGAATAAGAATATCCCAGAACCAGTCCGTCTACCGTTACCTTTTCAAGGAAAAATGCGGTAATACGCTACTTCGCAGGTACAGTCACGATCCGTGAAAATGGTTGAAAGCCCGACTGTGCTCGAATTGAAGCGCAGTTAGAGCGATTTCTGGACCAATCGTTATGGCTCAGGAGAGCAACATCACTGGGAAAAGTCCTGGTTGCCCTTCAACACAGTATCGTTTGCAGTGATCATAACAGTAATCATGCGAATTTAACGAAAAGCAGAAGCAGACAACGTGATGGTGCTTTTTCTGCGTTCATGAGGTGCTCGTTAGCATAAACTTTTGAAGTGTGCTAGTTGAAATTGCTCCTGGACAAGGAATAGGGTCCATAGCGCCCCCTTAATCACTGGAACGTCAGTGCTCTCGAAAGGGGGGGAGGTGGGAAGGCAGCACCGTATGCCTATCATTCTTCTTTACATAACATAGGCAATAGCACTCTGTAAGGGAGTCTAGAATTCCACCTGCGATAGCGTGTTGAACTACACGGGAAAAACGAAATAATTTATCAAGTAGAGATTAATTAGAAGAGAAATAGAATAACGCAACAAATGTAGATTAGCAAATGAGATTCGAGAAGAGTCGAGACGAGTTGAGAGGTCCGGCCAGTGGAGGCGACCCCTGGAAGCGAAGAGAGGAGAAGTAGTAGTCGTCGTCCAGTCGAATTGAGATCCCACCGAAGGAGTGTCGATCCACCACGAGGTTGAGACGACCTGAAGAAGATTGAGTGACGAGACGAGGGAGACTGTTACTTACTTGTATCGACCCCTTTTATCCCAGTTCTTCCCGCGCGTCACAACCTCCCCGCGATCAAAGAGGGACTACTTGACTGGTACCCAGATCCTCCCTTTGCCGGTTTTGACCCCTTGACCACGCCCTCGCTCTCGGTGGTTGCTCTGATCAGGCTGCCTCTCGCTCGGTGACCCCCCGCGTGATCATCGCGAGCCTCCTAGTAGGCTCTCCGCTTTAGGGGTCGCCTTTCCGGGGATTTATCTCCCTCGACTCTTCTCCGCAACAACTCACGCCTATTCCTCTTAATGAAGATAACAATTAAATCGCTTGTTTGTAACATTGAAAGCGTTGTAACTCAAAACTGCAGCAACTTTCCTGGTGAGAGAGCCCTGGATTTGGCTTTTTGTGTATATCCCCAAGCAGCGGCGAAAAGGCTTTGCAAGCAGGGGCGTTCGCATCAGGACCCAATCAGTTTGATGTGGCAACGCGGTCTACGGACAACTAAAACTCAATCGCTGTAGTGGCGCCAACTTTCTGTTCTTCTCTGGATTTTCACGTCCGAATGCCGCCCTGGCTTTTCACAGTCCAACTTTTCACGCACAATAAGTGGCTCATCCACCCCGGTATCCTCTTCCTCTGAGAAAAACCATCTTCTGGCTCGCGCCATGTTTTTTGTACCTCTCGATGCCTGGTCGCAGTTCTTTATTTCTCTGCGCTGGCTTTTCACAGCAGGGCCATCAGCGGAAGTTTTAGCTGTCACGTAACCATAGTCGTTTTCGCTGCAGACGCTGGAGGCTCAGGGGGGCAGGGTTTGGCTCAGTTCCAAAACGCTTTCCGTAAATTGTTGACACTTGCCCGGTTGGTGGAGAATGGGCTGGTGCCACGTTATGCCCATTCCCCTCTCCCTTAAACGCCCCAGTCTGGGGGAAGACACCATTCGCGAAAGCAAATGTACACCGTTGTTGCAAGTCCATTGCCACCCCTAGCGAGTCGTAGAGTACCGTCCTTGAGACGGTCAAAAAGACCAGTTCAGAAGTTCTTTTTGGAAATCCCTTCACTGACCTATCATTTTTTGACGGGAACATGACAAAGCACTCTGTTGCACGTTTTTAGAGAGACGTTTTAGGGTGACAAAGTAGACATGCTCACTTTGTTTCTCTCAAATAAGCGTTCTTAGGATACATGTCAAGGAGAAAATAGTTTAAGTATCTCTAACATGGAGATACCCCCACCTTGCAGGGTAGCCTAGACACCAAGGTTCTATCTTTGTAGTCACCAAGATAGTGGCGAGGGTGCTGAAACTGTTAGCTGCTGTAGTGACTCCACCCACCAGTAAGCAATCCTACCCAGAAATGAATGCCATTGGCGAGTGCGTTGATGTTCATCATCTCTCTTTTTCCTTCTTGTGTCTCTCGTCTCTTGCTCAGTTCCCCCCCCCTGCCCAATGTCGCTTTGATTTTCGCTTCTTCCCATGTTCCCATTCACTTATCGAAATCACTGTAAAAATCATATCAAATTAGAGGCATTTTCGACTGTTCCGCTTGCTACTTCCTTCGGACAAGGCGCGTCGCACGTTGAGGAATTCCCAGCGGGTGTCGTACTCGGCTGCTGGGTCGGGGGAGGGGAGAGCGGGGTGTTAAATTCTTTTATGATATTCATGCTCTGCAACGCTGGGAGAATCCCATTGAAACTGGCCACTGGAGGATGGGGGGGATCGTGATTGCTCGTAGCTTCGAGAGGGGCATCGCGTCCACCCTCCTCAGTTGATGACGCAGCCAAAGCCCTATACAGCTATTATTTTCGATAGTCAAACTTCATAGTTGCTTGGTGGCGACTTCCCCCAACCTCTCCACTCCGCTCTACGGCGGTTCTCTGGGAAAAATTTTTAATTTTTCCTTAGAAAAAAAGAAATAGTGACAGGAAATGGGAAAAGTCAGTGAGAGTGTAGGAGGGAATGGAAAAGGTGGGCCGTACCAGGAGAGGGACTTTGTGGGAGGGGTCGCAAAATTATTCCCCAGCGACAGGACGTGCCTTGATTAGAAAACAAGTTTTTAGAGAGATTAATTCAGCGGAAATTGACTTTATTTCACTTTTCAACAATAATTACAACTGTTTCATGATTCCAACCATAAGTAAAACCGAATTCAGGGCGAGTCTAACATTTCAACACATAAAGAATGTCTTCTAGGGAAGAACATTGTCGAATGTCGATATACAGTTCACATAGTCGCAATCAGCCGGGTGGTGTCAGAGCGCGTTCAGACTCCGCGATCGCGCTACCGCCAAACGCGCTCTCAGGAAGGGTGGAATGAGCCCGCCCACGACACCCTTTCCTAGCAGTGCTGTTCTGTTAGTGATCGATTTGGGAAAAATAATTAGTGCCGAAATGCCGGGCTGGGCTCATTCCATCCCTAGTGAAAGCGCCCCGACTGATTGCCACGATATCAACCGCGCTACCATACATATCACTTCCGAATTGTAGATCACAGGTGTACCGATTAGTGGAGCTATCAGATGAGCGTGCAGCCTTTCTTTTCACGGAATGGATTCTGTGCATCAGTTGTACCGCTCACCAACGTGTCAGATGCTTTGTGCTTCTCGCAGTAGTCCAGCAGACTGAAAAACACCTTTGATAGGAAAAAAATGAGTTTATGAGTGCGAAGGAAGGTGTGGTGAAACTAGATTGCTATTTCGTACGTATTATAAATTTACGGCGGCCATCATTGTACGAGTCTTTTAGGGTGAGCCACGCCATCAGCCAGCCTCCAAAGTCCATTCAGAACTGAAGGAGTGTTCAACCGGGATCATTGCAGACACAGTGAGTAAGCTACGATCACCATTTGTTTTTTGCCCCACCCCCCTACCATCCTATTGAGAGATGGGGTAACCAGGGAGAGAGTGCTGGCAGTGGGCGACTCATGACCAGCTATCTCTGCCTTGTTCTGGTCAAATACAGGTCTACAACACATATATGCAATATGGTGCACGTTCCAAAACGGCAGTAACTCGCCAAACGCGCAGCCGCGATCACCTCAGCTGAAGCGCAGCCACGCCCTCTCCATTTTTGCTTACCAGATAAGTACGCCAACTTAGAATGGAACTTTGAATGGAGGAGACCTGGGTAGATCGATAGAGTCTATAAGGTTATTTACAAATATAGATAGCAAAACTGCAACCTGCATTTCACAAGCAACTTATGAGCAGGTAAAGTTTGTAATGGTGCAGTAGGGTGGAGGCTTGGTGGTGAGCTGTGAAGCAAGGAATCGCATACGTCGAATCGAGTCGTGGTGGTTCAGTGGTAAGGTTCGACGTTCGACGACTCGATTCGACGTATGCGATTCCTCGCTTATGCTTCACAGCTCACCACCAAGCCTCCACCCTACTGCACCATTACAAACTTTACCTGCTCATAAGTTGCTTGTGAAATGCAGGTTGCAGTTTTGCTATCTATATTTGTAAATAACCTTATAGACT